TCCCAAGTCACAGGTGTTGCCGGTCATCGTAACTCACTCCTTCATGCTATCGAGAATGGGTCCACGTGTCATTCATCTCATCGGGGACATCCCGAACATCCATCCATTTGGGCTCAATCGATACCGTACCCGATAGTGGGTGCAAAATTCAACCTCCGACGTGCGGGCAGGGACACAATATCGGCACGCCTGTGCCGCCTGATAATGTCCTTGAAAAACTCATTTCAAAGGAAGTCATCCGAGACACTCGTCTCAAAACGCTCGCCCTCACTATGACACACGCATATTTCATAAGGCCCAGGGGTGGTGGACAGCTGACATCATGGCTCCCTCTATAGTACATTTTGAAGCATTTCCAAACTAGCGGGTGTAGACATGATTTATGTGAATGGACATATGGTGTCATGGAGCGTCTGTCCGGTGTCTGATTGACACCAAGTTTGGCGAGCTTTCATATTTCATATGGACGGAATTGACTCCAAAACCTCATGCCCAAGTTTTCTTCAAAATCCCGACTTTCGAGGTTAAGGCCCAAGGCCCTACCCAACCCTTCAACAAGCCTATCTGTAAAGCTCATGTCTACTCATTGTCCCTATCTTGCTTATGCCTTGTTTCCTCTTCAATGCACACAGATTATATAGTGTGTTGGATGATGCACGTCCTCCTCGGTCGCATTATGGTATACTTCCATATTGGCCCTCGCGTGGCCAAATGGACACCTCTTGAGGTTCACCACTTTGCTCGACTCATCATGAAATTTACAACCTACTCTTTTCATAGTATGGTTGTGAGATTGTGACACCTAACCCGAACTAAAGCATGCTTCAAGTGCAGCCAAGATGGTCATGGTGCTTGAACTGCACAAAAGAGAGTTTTGGGGGATGCCCCAACTTTGCTCATTTATTTATGTGTCATTTACTAGTCAGGTCTTATTGCATGGGTTACTCATGGGTGAAGGATGGTTAAGTGCAATAGAGGGACAGACACCATTTCACCGAAAGTTTCAACAAATGGACTCAATGGAGGAATGAGTTGGCAATAAAATGTTTGATACATGGAACAACCTTCATAGTTAGCTATATATATATTCAACGCGATTGAATGTAATTTATTGTCAAATAATGGCTATTAAATGTACTTTTAAATGAATTAAGTACAGCTATTGATTTAAATTTATGTGCAATTGAATGCCTAAAAAAAATTAGAAAATGATTTCATACCCAAAACACCAATTTATTAAACTCAGATTTCACTATCAATATAACTCAACACCCCATACGCTAGCTTCCTAAATTTTGACTTCAAAACTCACCACCTCAAATACCAACTTACTAACCCCTCTCATAACCCAACTCAACGTCCCGTTACAGAACATCCCGAACGCCCCCCTAAATAGTTACGGAACGTCCCGAACGCCCCCCTAAATAACTATCATATATCTTCTTATCTATTGAATTTATTGGAAAGGATACACTGAACACACAAGGAAGTGGAAGACAAGAGAGAGCTTCAGGAACTCACACAGGCAGCCTAAAATGGTCAATTTGGACGTTTTCCACTTTTTGCTTCTGGAAATCACTGCGGTTTCTGGACGCAAAGAACTTCCCAAAGTTGTATTCTCTGTATTTTGGGGGATTTTGTTCATTCACAACCTCCTCCAATGGCTTCACCATTGTATGGTGCGCTGGAAAGAAGAAGAATGGAATCGAAAACCTTTCCTTCTCTGTATTCACCACAACCCTGTGCTCCACACTTTCGTATTTGTCATTGCTCCAAACCTGCACAGCACACACAACATGAACTCGGATCGATCATACGACACTCGTACGACATTCATCAGTGGCAAATATCTATATTCCACATTCTATTAACAATGTAAATGAAGTTCTATGCCTAAGAGTTCTAGTCATCCAATCACTGGTCTCTGTCATTAGCTTTTGGAGAGACCAGAGAAGTTTTATACCTAAGAGGTATTGTACCCTAACGCTACAACTAAAATACTGCATACCAATTGTTGTAGCGGAAGCGGAAGTAAGATCGATTATACTCAGACACCCACAAATAGAAATTAAACAAAGAAACAAAGATTTACGTGGTTCGGAGAGAATAAATTCTCCTAAGAATAAGAACTAGATAAGTAGTATAGATATGGCAAAGCCCTTGACACCTCCATCAATCCTCCTTCAGAAAACCAAGTTCCAGAACTCATTTCAAAACCAAGTTCCAGAACTCATTTCAACTTCTTAAAATCTTATGATTTTCAGATAACCATGGACGAAGAAATTCCATATATGTTTATATATGCAATGGCAAAATCTATGTCAATAGGTAGAAACATACTTGAACAATGTCACCAATGTTAACAATATATGCATTTGAGATTGGTTTGACAGGAATCCATTCTCCATCTGATTTTCTCCTCACTTGCAGCCCTCCAACACCATCTTGGGCAAGGATAGTCAAGGCACCAGCATCCTTGTGACGCCCAACGCCAAGCACAAGATCTGGAGATGAGCATGGAGGATAGCGATTCAATCTCACCATGCTCATTTGCTCATCTTGGAAATAACCCTTCAATCTATCCGCAATGGGCAATCCAAGACTCAAACAAATCAGCCCCAGTAGCTTATAAGCTAACAATTCCAACTCCTTTGCATACTCCTCACATGTTTCCCTGTTCATGAACAATACAACACGAAACGCAAGCTCATAGGAATTTATACAAACAGTTGGTGTTCGGTTCTCCAAACTCAATAACAATTCCCTAAATTCAATTTCAAGTAATCCTAACATATAATATAAAGAAACATAAACAAAATTTCTGCAATGGGAGCTAGAACAGGCGAAGAACAGGAATCTGTGTTCGGTATATATTTAATTCAAGACAAAGAATAAAATCGCCAGAAATGAGAAGTACCTAAATTCAGGGGGATATTGTGGCCACTGATTAGTCAATACCCTCAAACTCGTGCCATCGGGCTCGTGCGAAGCCGGAACCAACGTCCGATCCCTAACCAAGAAATCAAACACCTCCTTCCAATCCCTAACGTTTTTCGTATTCTCACCGTCATGGTACCCCATAGCGTTGGCTGCATCTCTCTTCACCTTCCTCTTCTCCTCTATTCCCTGGTCAAAAAACAACTTCGCTACTTTCTCCATTCTCGCGAGCAACTCCATGGGAACTCCATGGTTGATGACCTGGAAGAAACCCCAGTTCTCGCAGGCAGAGGCTATGTCAGAAACAAGTTGTTCTACGCTACGAGAGTCGGAGATGGAGAGATCAATGGTGGGAACTTCGTCGATGGGGTCGACGTGTTCGAGCTTCGGACGGTGCTCAATGGGTTGGATAAAGGAAGCATCAAAGGCCAAGGCCTCTCCCATGGCTGCGATTCGATGGATGCCTTGAATGAAGACTCTAGAAAGGAATTGTAAGGAGAGATCGCCATTACCACCGCGTTATAAGCAGTGAGGAGTAATGAATTTGGACGGATTTACAGCTCCCGTTGATCAGCATACTTACAATTCAAAATATTAAAAAAGTAGGAAAGAAGATTGTTATTCTATAAGAATTGAGAAATTGAATTAAAATCAAAGTTATGTTTTTACTAATATTCATATAAAAAAAATAATAATAATTAAATAATAAGAATAAAATAAAATATATTTTATAGAAAAGAAATAATAAGATATATTTCAAAAATAATAATTCTCTAAATATTATATCTGATCTTTGTCTATATTTTCTTATCTCTTTCACTCTCCGTAATTCTAAATTGTGTAACTGTGTTTACAACACAGACTAATTTATTAATACCGACGGAGAAGTGAGGGTTTAAAGTGAGAGTCGACTTCAAGATATTACATTTATTTTAATTAAAAATAGATATTATATTTATTTAGCCTTTTTTAAAATATCAACTTTTTATTTTCAATTTTGAAAGTTGAACAACTTTCAACCAACCCAAATATGAGTTTTTGATTAAAGGAGTTGTTTAAAAACTATTCCCAATAAATTATAATTAAAAAAATAAAATAGGTAACAAATGGTAAATTAAAGTAAATTAAAGTAAAATTTAAAAAAAAATTGACAATACACGGACCCAACTCGAAATTATTTTATTATTTTTAATTTTTAATGTCTTCGATTACATTCGAAAAATTATAAATTGTGGATAAATAAAATTTAAAAAAAAATTACCACCCAACCCGAAATTAAATTATAAATTGTGGATAAATAAAACTTAAAATAACAACCCAACTTGGACCCATAAACCCAACCCGAATGTGAAGGGTTGGGCTGAGTTACCAATCCAACCAACCCGCAACCTGAACTTTTGGTTGGGTCAAAAAAAATCTCCCAACTCGATCCAACTCGGAATCCGAATGTGAAGGGTTGGAACCCGCAACCTGAACTTTTGGTTGGGTCAAAAAATCTCCCAACCCGATCCAACTCAGAACCCGAATGTGAAGAATTGGGTTGGGTTACCAATCCAACCAACCCGCAACCTGAACTTGGGTCAAAAAAATTCCCCAACCCAATCCAACTCAAACCATGTTTCAAACTGTGAAATTATTACTAAAATATTTAGACAAAAACGATATTAGATTCCTAGACAAAAACAATATTAAATTTTTAGATTTCTTTTATTAAAATTTGTAGTTAAAGTCATTTAATAGCTCATTTGTACATTAAATCTTATTAAAATAGTGAGTTTTATTAGAACTTTTTACTTATCTTTTTTTTTTTTCTTTTGCCAAAATTAGTGAATTTTGAATAGAATGTAAAAATTAATGACAAAATATAAATTCTAATTTTTGTCTGTAAACTCGTTTTTAGAAACAAAAGTGGGTTTGCGGGTTTGATTACACACACACACATATATATATATATATGGACCAAATCCAAAAAAAAAAAAAAAAAGAACTTGGATTGAACCAAAAATCATGTCAAACACCATATGGAACCTTCAAATATAATGATTCGTTTAGCATACCTAAAGTTAGAAACCTTATTTTGCATTTAGATATATTTCTCCTTTCAATCTTCACATTTCTACAGCATAAACAAGGCAGACTGCAATTGTTGGTTTTTCCATGCCAATCTTCCTCAAAAGTCTTGCAGGAGATAGATGTTCAACATAAAATAATTCGATGCAGGCTAAACATATCAGCAGAAACTTGGATCAAACAGAAAAAAAACACCTTTGCTCCAAATTCATGAGTTCGGATGCCGATACTGCTGCACAAAGTTTAATGTAAGCAGGGAGGGATAGTAATGGATCTGGGATTGCAACTATTTACAGTAACTAGGGGAGGAAATGCTCACGGAAGTGTTTTTGGGTCTGATCTCTTCAAGCAGATGGCATTGAGGTTGAGAGAACCAGATAAGACAAGTACTGAAGCCCGTCCTGGATTTTGCAGAAAGCTGTGGTTTGATCAGCACGAAGATGCTTGGAGAAGGCGTTGGCCTTGTCTTGTATCGACGTTTGCAGATGACCTTTGTGAGAATTGGCTGGGACTGCACTCATGGCAGCTTCGTATGCTTTCGAAACATCAGCAATGCCTGAAGAGAGCATTGAGTTTTTCAGATTGAGGTATCTCAGATTTTATATACTAAACAAGGCAGACCATAATTAGTATGAGAGCCTAGTTAAAAGATAACAAAACTAAAAGACGAGGGCACAAATTATACCTAAACAAATTCAATGTTCATATAGAAGGGATGAAAATGGATAGATCAGAATAAAAGATGCATTCCACTTTCTTATCTTCAATTCTATAAAAGGAAAGGCAGCCTCAAGACTTCATTTTTTAGGCCAAGTGTCAAGGTAGTATGAGATGTAAGCCTTAGTTTTTAGTTAAAAAAAGCATGTAAATAAGCATCAAAACTTATACTACAGAATATACTGATTATATAAAAGTGCACTCAACATGACAAATAATCGAGAAAGATGACATCATATTACCGAAATAGAAGGATATTAATATCAGAATTAAATCGGATGATAAAAAGAAGGCCAACCTGTGATGAAGCCATTGGATAGTGCATCTACATATCTTGTCATGGATAGAGCCTTCAGTCTAATGATTTCAGCTTTTTCATCAGAATCTGCGGGCCATATGATTTTTACAGCATTTTCATCTTCATCTTCATCATCATTGTCACCATCAACTTTGTTGGCTTGTGTTATAATGGATTTTCCAAGCATCAAAAATTGAGACACCGCAAAATAACACATTTCTGAAAGTCTCTGCAAATGCAAAAATAACACGCTTATTGTCAAATATCACTGCACCATATCCCATGTTAAATGTCAGCTGGATTGTCTTATTAACAATGTCATATAATTAAAAGAAAAGGAATATATCTCACATGGACTCCATCCGAGTGAAGTGATTCTAATCTGTCAACAGTCCTTTGCATTATTTCAGGAACAGCAAGTTCGGATATGGAACTTCCAAATCTGCAAGTGATTAAAACGCATCGAGGCACTTACATTTAGTGCATGAGTGCTCATGAACTTCATTTAATACAATAAATGTGAAATAAAAATTCAGCATAGCATTTCAAGGAAAACTTTACCCTGCAGCCATTTCAGCAGCCTTGCTGACACTAGAATCATATAAACTCTTCATCTCATCATTTCCTTCTTCTCCAATTTCCAACTTTTTAACTTTGTCTGATTTTAAACTGCTTCCTTCCATTTCATTACTCAAACTGAAAATTTGTTGGACCTGTCTAAGCTTTCCATCATACACAGATTTCTGGTCTTGAGATAATTTTCCTTTCCTTCGGTTATATAATAAAGTATAGTGGTTGGACAAGGCCTCCAACTCCTGCAAAAAAGAAACTGCCTCATTAAATAGAGTACCATCTCAATATTATACAAATTTCCAGATTAGAAAGTGACCTCTAACTGTTCTGGACCTCCATATATATAAAAGCATCGATCAAATGTCACTTCTTCATCTTCTAATTGATCCTTCTCAGCATGTGGTTCACTCTCATTAGAGCCTTTCTCAACTTCAATGCCAGTCTCTGTAATCAATAGATCCATGGTTTCCTTTCCAACGAGTTCAAGAACTTCCATTCCCTTGGTTGTGAGAGCCTTTCCTCTCTGTAACACAAATAAAATCACATAGCACATGAAAAATCAAAGAGAGCACGAGATTTACAAAATTCAGTTTTAGCTATTTCTCGGGATATTTAATCAGAGAAGAAAGAAAAGTTTTTGAGAACTAAGTTATGATAGTAAGTGCAAAGGGAGTATAACAATTTTTTAAGCTTCTCTTCGGTAATTTTATGATGCACACTACTAGGCTCACTTTTACATTACTTTTTACTTTGGCCTACAGGGAAAAGATGAAAAAAAATCAAAAGATTTAGTTTCTTTCTTTTTTAAGATGAGAAACAAATTTTTGTTTCCGAACACTTATCCTACTTGTTCAATGTCATGTGGGAGTAGAGACTTGAACCTCTAACCTTCAGATTGAGAGTATAGTATCTTAACCAGTTGAGCTATTTGTAAAGGTACTCTCCTTACAATTTATTAATATATAGAGGAAGAAACATCTCACTGCCGATTACAGAGGGCTGTAATTTCTCCTCTCCCTCGACCACTTTCTAACAGACAAAAAGCATATAAAACGCTCCTTCCTTTCCTATACACTCCCCTACATCACACACAATCCCAAGGGTTCCCTCGTACCAGTCTAACTAACTGGTTGTAGCTGCAGTTCCCTTTACTCCTAATCTCATACTGAATGGTAACTAGGGGCCAAACACTATGTTGATGTTGACCTCTATAGTATAATGATTCAAGCAACGGGAAATATCTTGAGAAAATTATTTATTCAATAATAATATAAATAGCACTCTCGACCTATGAATCATGATGCATAAGTTCAGTTTGCCAAGGAACCATACTTTAAACTCATGATACTATTTTTATAAACAATCAACAAATCAATCGATAAATTAACAAAGAGCAGACGGGAAACATTCAAGAAGTTAGATTAAGCTCATAAGACTTTTGTTCTTAACATGACCTTGTAACTGAACCACCTTTGCTCTGCCTACTAAGTCTTTTTTTTTTTTTTTTTTAAATACCCTACTGTCAATGAAATTATAAATTGTTTCCTATTAAAAAATAAATAAGCTAAATAATACGGGAAACAAACCTCCAACAATGATGGAGCAACAGAACCAGCTGCAGCTGGTATGCTTTGCTGTTGAATGGTTTCTGCAATATTTGCAGCTGAATTCTCAAGCCTAGGGAAGAAGTATAGAATATTACTTCCTTGGGCATTAAAATTAAAAATGAAAAGAAATACAAAGCAACGACATGGAGTGTTAGTGCAATAGGAGGCATATTCATGATTACTTTCAACTTCTATTGTTCGAATTTTATCTACAGGAACTTTTATCATCTGAAATCAAAGCAAATCCAAACGCAAGAAATTAAGCCATTACAACTTTAGGCAAAATTTCAAAATTATATGCTAAGGCCCCTCTCAATTCGTGGCTAGAGAAAATTGTATACTGCAGCACATAGTCATCCAAGAAAAGCATTAGCTAAGTTGTCCAATAGATTTTAAACTTCAGAGTACCAGTAAACAAGATAGACATACTTGTGAACGAAATCACTGCCCCCTCTCAATGCACTTCCCAGAGCTTTCCATGCTCCCGAAGCTATATTCTCCACAGAAGTATCCAGAACCTTTAAGCCCTGCATATATTGAAACAAAGATTACTGAGTTGCGAACCCAAATTCTTAATTTGAAAACCAGAATTGAGAACGACAACTATCCACATCTGGATCAGTGCCACATAATCATTTAATGACAATGCACAATCTTCAATGCATTCTTCTATCATCACTAGTATAATTATTAATTACTGAGTTAAATCATCTGCATTTACACCAAGCCTAAAAAGACGTGTGTTTGAGAAATCGAAAAGGTTTATTGAAATTAATTGATAACAGAACGTCAAAGAAAGCATGACATAATATTAGAAACAACAAAACAGAAAGAAATTCTTAGGAGATGATATAAAGCAAGAAAAAATGGAACTGTATTGAGCATTTGTGACATGGATATCGAGCATGTGCGATATCGTGATGGAACCCTTGCATGATGGCAACTTCTAATCAAAAAGACATCAAGCACATCAGTCTCCCACTTTTCCTAGATAGATTCCAATTTGGTATTGGGTCTTTTGGTTTGTGTGCTAAAGGTTTATGAGGACTTTCTCACGGTTGCTAATAGTAATTCCATATAGTTCTTATTGATGAGGATGCAAGAGAATAATCATATACAGAAATTGTTACAGTCATGGTAAATGAAAAGATCGACACCCAGCAAAAGACAAGTTAATGTAACCCTATTCTACAAAACTTGCCTGGCCAAAAACTGAATCCTCGCTGGCCTTCTCTAATTTATCCAAGGCAGATTTTCGCAGCTTATCGTTCTCATCTTCACTCTCACTTTCAGCTGCAGAATCTTCTACTTCTTTTTCCTTGGAAGACTCCACATGCTCATCTTCATTTTCCAAGTCTGCAATGCTTTTAGCTGCTGTCTGAGCTACCGCAGCAGCCTGCAATTGTTCATTCACACCAACCAAAAAAAAAAGGTAACTGACGAATATCTTTTGCTCCTTCAGTCCATAATGTCACTAAAAGATAACTGTTTCCTGAACTTACATTGCGAAAACTCAGCACTCTATCACAGAAAATTTCTTCTCATCATAATAATAAAAATAAATAGGATCACATGAAAACGTTTAACAAGCTAGTTATCAGTAGCTCCTTAAGCACGCACACCAAAACTCACACGACTATATTTCTAATCTCATTACTGTGCCAAAATGCCTGAAAACGAACAGCATTTCCCCAATACGGAACACATAATAGACTAATAATCAGATCGAGTACCTAAATCTCTCAATTAGAAAGGAAACCGCCTCACGATCACAGAACACCAGAAATTCCAAAATGCGAAACACATGACAACGCAACGTCCACAACCTAATTCACGCAGAAACAACAATGTGGAAACTCGTAACAAAAATAAATACAATACACATACATTTCGTGAGATCTCTTCGGCGGCCTTCTGGAGATCTGAGAGAACAGAAAACGCAGAGAATCCCCAACCTCCCCAGCCTCCTCCTCCTCCGCCACCGCCACCGCCGCCGCCGCCGCTTTTTGAAGGTGCTTCGTTTACTCCGCTTTCTTCTTCAATCTCTTGAACTTGCTTCTTAGGAGGTTCCGTCGCCGCACTCAGTGGCTGCTTCTCTTCCTCCATCGTAGCACCTACCTAACGAAAATTACTATAATTTTCCAAAATCACAGTCCTCTGGAAGAAAGAACTATGTTTCTTCCGAATTTGTTATGAAAAATTAAATGAATCGATCAGGACTTTGGGTAAATATCTCAAGAACTATGTTCCTTCTCGCGATGATCGAACTATGGCGTAAACGTGAAGGCAGTTAATTTCTCCTCCCTCCCTACGCATCCATACGATGCCGTTTTCACCTTTTAAAAAGCCATTTCACTGCCCCACCGGACGTCCGTCCCTCTTTTGTCTGAAGAGGAGAAATGTCTTTTATGCCCTTAAGTTTTTAAAATTAGAGATTTGAAAATATATAATCTTATTTCTTCTTACTTTCTTCATCTCTATCTTTCATTTTTTTTATCTCTAAAATTTCCTTTATTTCTCTTGTTTTTTTTATATCCGCTTTAATATCATAACCGGAAGTAAATAAGATGAACTTTAAGTATTCTCAAATATATATAGATTCGTTACGATGTCATCGTCATTCGTTCATTCGTACAGGGGTACCTTACCTTTACCTGAAACGTAAGAATAACACGTGACTTGACTATTTTAAGAAATAGTTAGTAAGTAACTCCATTGTTAGGGTCGTGAAATGTAAACACATGCAACATGGTAGGATCTATCATTTTAAAACATTATAGCATGGTCTTAGGCAAATTTTCCGTCTGAGCAAGGATGTGTAGTACCTCTATATACATGGCCCACGTATACGAGTATGGGCCTACCAGGCGGGCTCACATACCCTTTAGGCCTGACTCTTCGAACAAAGTAACTTACATAAGACAATGTGGAATACTATATGAGCCGCAAAGAGATGGTGGTTACGACTAATCAATATCCCACCAATCCGATTTGATCTAGAATGTCGAAGAGTCTAATGAAGTGTGGGCTCAACTTGCCCATTCGTCCAACCCTAAAGACGCCTTCCATTGAGGATTCCTTCAAGAATACCTTGTTGTCTACCTCAAACTCCAAGTTTCTACGCCTCACGTCAGTGTAACTCTTTTGTCTACTCTAACTCATGCACATTCTTGCCTTGATCTTTGAGCCTCATTAGTGACTTAGACTAACTTTGATCCCAATAGTTGACGTTTGCCTAATATTTGTGGTTGTAAGCGATTTCTATAAGATCTAACTTGAAATTCCAATTGTTTATATGATTGAGGCATTGCTACTACTAATACTGACATCACATAGTTCTGCCTATTATTCATAGGGAACTTTATCTGAAGTAACATGTGTAAGGTCGTGAGTACCACATCTCACCACTACTCTAATGCCAATGAGTCCTTTTGTTATCTAGGTAAATCTAAAAAAATTTCTTGACATAACCTCTTTGTGGAACCTTTTTGGTATCCTTTAGATTCACTAATGGTTTGGACTCTACACCTAACCTACCACGTTTAAGAACTTTCGCTAAACCCTCTAAAGCCGATTCAAAATTAGATAAAAAAACAAAAAAACTTTTGCTAAAGGCAATTAAGCAAGTGTCTTACTATCGGTGTGATTATATTTGATGTTGACACACGCATTCCTCGTGGTTCTACATATGTGTATATTGATATGTGTGAATTATTTTTGAATCGATATGACTATGATATGATATGTATATGTTATAATATGTGAATTATATGATAAGATTTACGGTACGATGTGTTCGAGGATACGTTTGAGATAGGATACAAGAAAGATGCAATAAACGTAATGTAACGATACGACTAAGATATGCTCATAAAACATTATGGTTAGGTTATGTATCAAAATGCTATGATTATGATAGATTGATAAGACGATACAATAAGGTTACATATAGAAAACGTTATGGTTATGATAGTTTTGATAAAACAATACGATAAGGTTATGTATAGAAAACACTATAGGTATGATAGACTGATAAAATGATACAATAAGGTTATGTATAGAAAACGCTATGGTTATGATAGATTGATAAAACGATACGATAAGGTTATGTATAGAAAACGATATGATTATGGTAGACTGGTGAGACAATATGGTTAGAATAAGCTTAGGAAACGATATGACCATGATATGTATATGAAACGACATGATCACGAAGTGTATATGAAATGATATGATCATGATAGGATATGAGAATGACGAATATATATATGTGTGTGTGTGTGTGTGTGTTTGTTGGGACCTCATGCATTATTGTGTGTTCGTGCATTGGGGGATACCCCTATTCCTTCACGATAGTACAAACGTGTACACTACTAGGCAGGGCAATGTTCATTATGTTTATCATAATGCTGCCGTGACGGGCACTATTCCTAACAGGGTGTTCGACATCAACAACTCTTGGAGAATGCTCACCCGACCAGAAAGGGGGCTTAGGAGGTGTGCGAACTAACTGGTGGGTCCATACTTGCATGTGTGGATCATGTGTAAGAAAATTAAATACATATCTCAATTACTCGTTAGGATAGCCAACATAGGAAAATAGACTATTATGATAGGTCCAATTCATTAATTTCCACCTACTAAGTATTTTTTAAAATATTCACGCGTTACTTCTATTTCAGGTAAAGGCAAGACATTTCTATATGGCTGACGACGATATTGCAACTTGAGATCATGACAGATGCATAAAGTAGTCGCATTTATTTTTCTTAGACTTAGGCTAGAATAAGATGTTTTTAATTTAATCGTTCATTTATTTTATTTAGTTTTTTGTTGTGTCGTTTTAAAGATGTTTTCAAACACGTAAGTTCATGACAATATTTTAAAACAAAGTTATGTTTTATGAAAAAGTTTAAATAAAGTATTTTCGCATTTAATGTTCATGATATGTATACAGTTTTGACCTTAGATTAAGTAGAAAATTTAGGGTTGTTACATAAGAAATCACTACAACGGAAGTAAGATTCGAATTACTTTATTGATCGAACATCTCAAGGCAAGAATACTTGTTTGAGATTCAAATCATTCCACCGATCATGTCTAGTTTGAATGATTCTAAGCATGCAATCTGAACTACATATAGAATTACAAATGAAAAGTAAGAACACTTAGCCTTAATGACAAGGAATCACTACAAGGGAAAGTAAGATTCAAATTATCTTTTTGATCAAATATCTCAAGACAAGAACACTTGTTTGAGATTCAAATCACTCCACAAGCAAGATTGATCATGTCAAGTTTGAATGATTCTAAACATGCATTCTAAACTACGTAGAATTGCAAAGAAACTTAGTCATTTGCTAAAAGAAAACACAATGCTCATTTTATTACATTTTCCAAGTCCCCTCTACAAATATGAAACATTTTAAGAGTTTGTAACCTTCGTACTTTAAGACCATAATGAACCACGATGTAAATGTAACCTAAAAATAAATATAAAAAAATCTTTAAACCTAAAAACATTAATGAAACACTATCAATTTAGTTTTCAAATCACTCCACAAATAAAATCGATCATGTGTAACTTGAATGATTTTAAACATTCAATCTAAACTACATTGAATTGCAAAGGAATGATAAGAACACTTAGCCTTAATGTTAAGGAATCACTCCCACGGAAAGTAAGATTTGAATTACCTTATTGATCAAATATCTCAAACCAAAAATACTTGTTTGAGATTTGAAACCTAAAAAATCGGGTCGTGACAAATTGATATCAAAGCGGTCGAAAACCTCGAAAATCATATCGTGACAAATTGGAGTTGGTTCAAACCACAATTGAGGTCAGCAAAAGATCAAGAAGTTACGTTGATATAAGATATAGAAACCTAAATTTGACAATACGTGACAAGATATCCTTAAAAGATAGTATCCATGAAGGGTGTTTCAAGACTCAAGCGTAAAGGCAAGTTAAGCATGCACCTCATCGAACCCTTCAAAATTCTAAACTGGATCGAATGATAGCATATCGATTAACTCTACTGTTATTCATTTCCATTATGCATAATAGGTTCCATATAACCATAGTTTGTAAGTACAAGACCAACTAAACTCATGTGATAGACTACGAGCCCTTGCATGCAAAAAGACGAGAGTCAGAGTTATGAGAAAAGACTCGTACAAATTCTAGTCGAGAGATAACATCCTTACTTACCAATGAGAATGAGATAACATGTGAAGTATATATATATATCATTATGTTTTATTTTAAGTAGAGTGGTTTTTATTTTAGATTTAATAATAAATTACATTCAAAATTTTCTTTGATTTGTTTATTTCCACTTACACCCCTCACTACACCGAATAAAATAAATTGTTATCAAGGACAGAGGTGTCATTTTAAATCCGAATCATAAAAGCTGGACCAACCGTCGGGCGACGTGGCCAGGTCACCCATGTTCTTGTCCACAAAATACAGCGTGTAAATATTATGGTTTATTCAAATCTCTTATCTTTTACAAAATTTAAAATTTTAAAATTATTATAATTTCCAAATTGTGAATTTTTTTGGAAGATACTAATAAAAATATAAGTGAAATTAAAAAAAAAAACATTATATTTTGTAATTTATTTTAAAAAAAATTAAAACTATTAGAATATTATACTAAAAATAAAACATATTTTCATTTAAAATTTTAACGGATTTTTATTTTAAAAATATTAGGATGTTTTTTTAGTAAGAATATGAATACTTTTTATTACGAAAAAAAATTAAGTATATTAATTTATACATATTTAACAACTTTCAACTAAATTAGATTTCAAAATTTAAAATAATAATAAAAATACATTTCATATTTTTATTTCATAAATATTAAGTGTTAGATGAACACGACTCTCTGCAACGGTATGATATTGTCCACTTTGAGCATAAAGTTCTCGTGACTTTGGTTTGAGCTTCTCCAAAAGACCTTATACCAATAGAAAAAATAGAGAGAGTATTCTTTGTTTACCTTAAATTAGCCAACGTGGGATTTTTATTATCGAACATTAAGAACTCCTCCTCTTGAAGGCGACCTCTTATCGGGAGTCAACTTTCATAAATTTTTCAATATTAAATGAAACTACGAGTAGACTATAAATACGATTTAGTTTGATTTTCTTAAACGAGAAGGCAACTAATTAAATGTGGGATAGAGATGGAAATGAATTTTGAGAGAAGGTTGAGAAAAATATATTGTGAAATCAAATTAAACAATATTTAAAAAAGGATAGTTGAAGGTCCGTTGGGGAAAGGAAAACCGACACG